GGATCTAATTTGTTTTTGATGATGAGTTTTTTGATGCCTCACCCCGTCCACAGGGATCCTGCCCCTCGAAGCGCCCGCGCTGTGGTGCGGCGCGACCCCGATGAACCCTCTACAGGGATTCTGTGTGTCGAAGCGCTGGCGCTGTGGTGCGGCGCAAATTCTTTACGTCGCCGATGAACCCTCTACAGGGATCCTGCGTGTCCAACCTGAACAAATCCTTGGCCGCACCTCCGAAAAAAGAGGGTTGGCCGCACCTCCGAAAAAAAAACCCCCCCGCCGGTCCGAAGGAGCCAATAGTTAGGTACTGGCTTTTAGGATAGTAGTTATGTAGGTTAGGATTTTGGAGAGTATATGATTATTAGGTACTGGGAACCTGAGGGTATTAACTATTAAGGAGGCGGATTTTGGGGAGCATATGATTTTTAGGTACGTGGACCCTTGGTTAAATGCTCAAAGCGCACCTTGCTTTTGGAGCACTGGTTAGAGACCCAAAAAGCACATAAGCATAAGCATTTTATGGGGATATCCCTACCTTATTGGGCTTCATTATAAGGGGGTTTATATGGGATATCCCTATCCTGATGTTTGCTTATGTGCTCTTTTGGGGCCCTAACTGGGCTTCCTGTGCATCGAGCTGGGCCCCGGCTCTTTCCAGGATCTCGGTTTCCCTAAGGCTCCATGTACCCATATAATATATCGTATTTAGGGTTTAGGGTTTTAGGGTTTAGGGTTCAGGGTTTTAGGGTTTAGGGTTTAGGGTTTTAGGGTTTAGGGTTTAGTTTTAGGGTTTAGGGTTTAGTATATAATACATACTTAGGCCTTAAAGTACCTATACAGGGACACCTCTAAGGCTTAAGTATCTACTATAAAGGTACATGGAGCCTTTGGGTTTGTGTGCTTGTTTCTGCGTGGTGCGCAGAGGCTGTCGAGGGTAGCTAGGAAAAATGGGATCCGGAGACAAGCAGCACTTAACAGATTAGAAAACCTGGTGAGTGGACCATCAGCACAGCTACGAATAGTATAAGCTTAGACTTAGAGGATCGCAGGCATTAGTAAGTATGGGTACAAGTTCCTATATTATATGAAGGTACTACACTTACCGTACTTATATGCGTACTTACCCCGCAACTCTTATGGGATCCCGTAAGATGCTTCATAGAACCCCTCACCAAGGACCAGAGAGCCCAATACTCCTCAATTAAGGAATAGAACTTAAATCATGCTAGGACCCCCTATATAATTTAAGCCATACTCCTTAATTAGGGGGTAGTGGGCTCTCTGGGGAACCCTGAAAGTATTATAGGATCCTTAAAGGAGGGTGGTTCAAGGGGGGAGGGTATAAGGAATCCTTAGGGGACTGTAAGGAAACCTTAGGGAGTACTAGGGAGAATTAGGGATCACTAGGCTATATACCCCCCTTGGACCCCCCTCCCTTAAGGATACTACAAAAGTACCCCTCAAAGGTCTGATCTCCCCTCTCCTCGGCGTCTCGTGCACAAGAGCCTCAAACAGAACCCGGTGCCGATGCCAAGACACGCCGAGCTGCCCAACAGCACTTCTATAGAACCTTTGGGTTCCTTTAAGTGTCCCTTTTAAGCCTCCAGAAGAGTTACTATAAGGGTTCCTATAATGGCCCCTTTGTTAGTACAAAATGTATACTGCTATCTGGGCTACTACGAGGATCCCGGGGCTTCGGGGCTCTGGGGGCCCTCAGAATTGAGCAAGGCCCAGTTGTAGCGTAGGTAACCTTTAACCTTTTTTGGGTAGTGTAGCCCCTAGATTATCCCTATATAACCAAAAAGGATAACCTTCAGTTCCCCATGATACCCGACAAGTAGGAAGGGTTGCAGGGTTTGTGTCACTGTGCTTACAACAGGAACCTTTTTGAACACGACTGCTTAAAATTCGACTTCGGGATTTCGGGCTTATCGCCACTTGCAGGTTTTGGGTCGTCTGACATGGGTTTAGGGTTTTTTCGGTTAAGGGTGAGGTTTTTAGCCTTGCAGGCTATTCCGGTGCTTTGACTTTGGTGTTAGGCTTGGGTGTAGGATTGGAGGTGCAAGCTGCGTAGTTGGCTCCAGTCAGAATGGGTTGTGGCGGATCTAACTGAGTAGCCAAGATTGCAAGGTTTCTTAATTCAGATTGTGTTATGATGTCTGACTGTATAATCAATAGTGGGATGGGATCCCAGGATCATATTGGGTATTCAGGGTTGGTCCTACTAGTCACGGCGTCCAAATGCTATGGAGAACCCTGAGCCCTATACCCCTAAACTCTACATTCCCTCACCCTTTAGCCTAAGCCCTAAACCAGAAATCGTAACTTCCACAAAACCGATGCCCAAAACCCTAAACCGTGCTTGCTAACCCCCTGCAGGCCTGCACCTCTGCCCAGAAGGCCCTTTACAAAACCGGCACAGAGTCCGACAGCGACAGCGAGCCATGTAACCCCTTAACCCCAACTTGCAGGATCATGGGATAGAAGAAAGTATATTACTTACAGTTATAAGTAGATATAACCGCAGTTACCTTACATGTAACCCTAAACCCTACAGCCTATATAAATTCTACATACACAAAATCACCCGATCATCCAAGGACAGCCTTCTGACTCTATCCGATAAGAAATGGGACTAAAAAGCAGTCTGAACCCCTAACCCTTAACCCCACATCCTCTTCGCCTGCAAGCGTTAAACGCAAAACCCTTAAACTCTAAACCCCTCAGGATAAACCCGTAAAGCTTAAGAATTAGACTCTAGACCCTTAAACCTTTGGACCCTGAAGCCAAAGCCATAGCTTTCTCAGGGAACCTACGGATACCCGGCACGCCCTCTTCGAGTTTGCCGATCCCGAGGAGGAGTGATTTCGGGCCTGGGAATACACAGCCTTTACGGTTGGGGGTTTAGGTGTAGGGGGTTCCCACATTATATCTACTATTTGCTTAAGAAACTCCCAAAAAATAAAAATAATAATCCCTATATTACCCCCATAAGGAATATATTTTTTTAATTTTTTGGGGGTTCTTAAGCAAATAGTAGATATGAACCATGCCGGGGTGTGAAAATGATGTACGTTACTCCGATTTTCTTCCAAAGTATACTGCAACATACCCCAAAACGCTCTTCTAAGGTTGTAGGCCCTGTTTCAGCACACCACACACTCGTGATGAGGGAGACCCTTGAGGCCGCAAAGAGAGCCTAGGGCGATTCCTGTACTTAGTCTGCTTGTAGCTCTACCCATAATCTACTTCTTAACCCCCTGATGATACCCGGTCCAGGCAGGATTTGGGTGTCTGTCTCAAGGCTCAGGAAACTCCAAAATCCCCTAATAAAGGAATACCCAGGGCTCCTTTAAGGGATCTAAAACGGATCAATAGGTTTTCGGGCTTCGGGAACTCAATTCATATTAGGGATCCGAATATAATTTAAGGTATGTTCCTTAATTCAGGAATATTCCGGAAACTGCAAAGGTCAAACAGTCAACCACTTCGTGTGTAATGAAGGAACCTGATAGTAGGGTTCATAAAAGGAACCCTAATGAACGCCCAAGATTGCTTAATCAGGTTCCTAGATTAGAAGGCTGCTCCCTCATGCGAGTTCCAGTCTGCCACGTCATTTCGTTAAACGAGATGACTGCTTGGAGGATCAGGGGGACTTCGTAAGTGGGGTCATAAGCAAAGTAACCATAGTTATATCTACTTATAACCCAAATTCAGGTACTTATAACCTTACCTACTAAGTCCCATGATCCTCTAAGTGCCCTTCTAAGAAGGAGCTCGACGGGGACCTGCGAGCAAAAAGTCGTTCGTTGCAGAGGGCCAGACCCTAAAGCCCTAAAGCTAATGTAGCCTGAAAGCCAGAACGCGGCACCTATCACCAGACCTGGTCATCATGATTCAGGGTTCTGTATGTCTTCAGTTTTGTATTGTCTGCTTCTGCTTGCTTTGGATAGAAAAAGCTTGATAGAGAGAGACTGTGAGTTGATGTTTCAACAGGCCCTGTACCGAAGGGCTCACGTAGGGTGTTTAGGCCTTTGTGTAGACATCAGCTGTTAATTTATAGGGCGGCTTTCATGACAGTAACTTTAGGCCTAAACCCTAAACCCTACACGTTAAACCCTCAAAGCAGACAACATACAAGTACATGGACCCTTAAGTGTGTGTGTGTGTGCGCGCACCCCTCTGACCACCGATCCCTGGCAGACTCTATACTTCATCCCGAAACTGCTAAGCACTATAAATGGGAGTTTCCGAATCTAGGGGATCCTAATATAGTACCCTGAATAGTTGGATCCTTATTACAAGGACCTCAAAAAGGGTAATCCTAATTTTCGGAAACTGCCAAATCCTAAGTCCGAATATTCTAAACCTCTAGTTCTGTCCCGAACCCTAGCGGCCCTAACCCCTTGAAGAAGTTCAGGTCTGACCAACGCAACAGCCTAGAACGGTGGGACAAGTAGTCAACACAGAAGAGCTCCTGTAATGTATAAGCAGCTTTTGAGTGATAGTCTTCCTTAGGGATTCGCAGCAAGCTTCTAGTCCATACACATCCACACCACCCCTATTCCAGTTAGTCAGGTCCCCTGTACTCATGTAGTATATAGTTTGATCACGAAGTACGTATCTACCTCCCTTTACTTCCCTAGTGTATACTATCGTCTCCTAGGAAATTATGTTTTTGGCTCATGACAAACCCAAGAGAATTTTCAAATATGTTTATCATGGTTCTAAGCGGGGGTATGGTATACTGTTTAGGCAACTGGATCCTTGGGGCAAATTCCTCGCTTGTCCTGCTTGGATTCCAGTCTGGTGGTTTGAGACTCTTGCACGGGGAGTCCTCTAGATTAGGTTCATAATACAGACGCTTGAATACCCTGGGGTTCGATATCATAACTGTGCTAGTTGATCATGTGTGTATGTGTGTGTATATATATATATATACATACACCCTCCCGCCCTTAACCCAGTTCACACCCGAAATAAGATTCCTGGGACAGTTGAAGGCTGCGGAAAAGGTCAGAGATGTGGGCGGAAAGCTGTGGCAGAAGACCGACCATTGGCCGCTTGGACCCCCAAAATAGTATTGGCAATTATTTTGGCCCCTTATCGTACCCTTATAGATCCTTTTCAGAAACCCTTATAGACCCCTATAAAGGGAACCCTACTATAGATACATATTGCATTCGGTTCCCCTTTGGGGGGAGGTGTAATGTAGGAGCCTTAATAACTAAGATAGGGTTTTGGGGGTCCTCATTACAAATATATTATGTAATATACCCCCAAACCTCTTCCAATTATCAAGGCTCCTACATTAGGGTGCAGCATGCAGCTACAGGGTTTCCGGATTACTTTCGCCTCAGGTACCTATCATTTTCTCCGGTTCAGGGTTTTCGGAACAGATTCCGCAAAATCCAGGATACTTTTGGTGGAAGGGACAGATGAGACTGTCTGACTCTTTCGTGATTCTGCTGAACCCTAAACCCTAAACCTACTGAAGCCTTAATCCCGACGTCCTCAAGTCTCACCCAAAGGGTCCTGGGCACTTGCCGAAAAACCGTAATTGAAAAATATAGAAACCCTACAGGCTACTATATAGGTACTTTGGGCCCTTTGGGCTAAGATCCCAAAAGCTATAGCCCGACACTAGTACCCTTATTCCCTTTTTGTAGTCCTAGGGTCCTTATAAAGTTACCCAATACAGCAAAAAGGGAGCCCTTTTTATTCCTGGCTTACTGAGCATCCTAGACCTCGTTTGCAACTGCAGCTTCCGGACTAATTCTATGAGCGCAAGGAGCTTTGGACTACATATGGGGTTCCCAGAGACTCCAACATCCCTTAATCAAGGAATATATCTTAACTTACAGTAGGATCCCTAATATGGTTTAAGGAATATTCCCCGATAAAGGGATATTGGAGTCTCTGGGTTTATTGTTCAGTGCTTTGGGTGTTGGGTGTTGTGCTGAGGGCTCAATGCTGTGGGTTCAATTTGGAAGTCGATAGTTTCGGATTGTCAACTTCAGGGTTCTGGTTGCGCGCTCAATGGTTTTAATTTACCTAGCTTTTGGTTTTCGGTAGTCAAGCGCAGCTTTTCGGGTTCAAGTTTTTGATTGCAGGCTTTTCGAACATCGGGCACTCACGAAAGCTCCGCACAAGTTATCGGTTTCGTGTCAACCGCCGACGTTCCGGAACATAAACCTTTTCTAAAAGCGAAAATCGTACTCTTCTGCTGCGCATCCGGAAAAGAACAAAGAGAAGTCATAAACATATCAATGAAACCAAGACACCTTGTAACCCTGACACTCTCAGCCTCAAAATCATACTAAAACTCTGGAGAACCCAACGAAGCCATTTAGAACTACTAGGCTAGAACTCCATAAAACCACGGAAGGTCGTTATAGAGCCCTACAAAGCCCTCCTTAAGCACCCTTCGTAGAATCCTGTAAAGCCCCATACAGCCATTTCTGTAAACCTCATGTTTATTTTTCAGGGGTTCCTTATGAGAACTTCCGTTAGGGTTTAGGGTTTAGGGACTTGCCTCAGGTTGCACAATCTGCGAAGCAGCCAGGGTCACGAAGAGGCAGGCTGTCTAGTTGAACGAGACAGCTCAAAATATCTCCACGAAGAGCCTTTTCCTTTACGAACGGTTTGCTGATGGTATCACAGTGGAATCCAAGACTTTTTCTATGAGAGTTTAGAAAAAAGGGTTTCGGAGTTTCTGGTTACCCTGAGCGCCCAGAAGCATGAAATTGTAGGTTCCGAAGCCCCTCGACTCCAAACCAAATCCCTAACTCCTATGCCTAAGCAATATATATATATATATATATATATATATTTTTTTTCAAACTCTATTTAGGAGTTTCCGAAAATAGGGGGACCCTAATATAGTACCCGAAATAATAGGATACTTATTACGAGGACCCCAAAATAAGGTACCCCCAATTTTCGGAAACTCCCTAAACCCTAAACCATTTATAGAACCCTCATAGATCCCTTATAGGAACCCTCAAAGGATCCCTTTTCGAACAACTCCCAATCCAATTTTGTTGAGTTTGGGGCTTTGGGGTGGCTGCGTGCCGCCGCAAGGCCACTGCCGCTGCGGAAGTGGAAGGCCTGGGTTTGTTTCAGAGGGGTAAGGATCTATAGGGTCCCTTTATAGTTCCCCACTGAGGGATCTATAGGGGTACTATAAGGGTTTAGGGTTTAGGGTCTACTTAGACCTGCAGCTTTAGGGTTGAGGGTTTGTCATAGGAGGCCAAAAGAAGCTTTAGCCTATGGGGGTTTAGCAGGGGTTTGGGTTCCCATAATAGAGTTCATATTAAGGAATCCCTACCCCAAGAATCTTAAACCCCCCTTTTGGCCTCCCATCATTGTTCAAGGTTTCGGGCTTAACAACCCAAACTATGGGGGATACTTCCCCAAATCATAAGAGTAATTCCTAATAGAAACCCTACATTCTACTTTGGACCCTTTGGGCAAGTTTCGGGTTTAACTACTAGGCCACTATAGGCCCCCTAACCCTCATAGAGCCCTTTTAAAGGAACCCTTTTCAAGGAACCCCTCCATGAACCCAAGTCAAAGTCCAGTCCTACAGCAGGGGGAGTCGGGAGTCCCCCAGTAACGGTTTAGGGTTTAGGGTTTAGGGTAGTAGTAATGACCCTTTTCTTTGTTTTGATTTCAGGGTCCCCTTACTAAACCTGAATACCACGAAAAAGGGTACCCTTTTACATAGGCGACACTGGGAAACCTATAGTATTTATGGTTTCGGGCTTAAAGTTTAAGGTTTCGACCCTAGACTACCGAGATTTTCAATGGCTTACAAACGGAAATCATAGTAAGGAGACCCCCGAAAAGGTTGTTCAGAGCTCAGGGAGGCTTTAAGCTTTAGCATTTGGAGTTCGGGGCTTCGGTTTACGGTTTAGGGTTAGGGTTCAGGGTTTAGGGTTAGGGTTTGGGGTTTAGGGTTTGGGGTTTGGGGGATTAGGGGTTAGGGTTTAGGGTTTGGGGTTTAGGGTTCAGAGTGTAGACGGAGTTTGTAGGCTTCTCTGATGCTCTTGCCCGGCTGAGTACCCAAGTCGTAGAGGACTCCTTCATGCAGTGTACTTCCAAGTTTTGGCCGCAGGGTTTAGGGTTTAGGGTTTAGGGACCCTAAACCCTAAACCCTAAACCGTGCCCGCTTCAGAGGCACAGGCCCAGCAAGGAATCTGCCGTGCCACCTGCGCCAGGTCCAGGTTCCACTTTGACAACGAGGGATGCTGACTTGGAGGATCAGGGGACTTAGGATGTATAGGGTTATAAGTAAGGTAACTATACTTATATTTACTTATAACCTTAATTGTGGTACTTGCAACCTTACTTACTAAGTCCCATGAACCTGTAAGAACGAGGGGTGCTGGTGAGCCGCCTTCACCAGCTCCGTGAGCTACAACATTACTCCTCTGTACAGCACCCCCAAGGGTCCATGTACTCATACGGTTGATGATATATATCCTGCATGACCCATAATAAGAAGTATAATTGCCATAGTCTAGGGTAATCAAGGTAGTGCAGGATCCATATCATCGGCCAACCGTATAGTAATACCTAGTCCTTAAAGAGCCCCCAAGGGGCCGATCAGTCTTTCTAGCGGCAGCGCCCACGGTGCTTAATGGGCTTGTAGCGCCTACGAAATCGCGAGCACCGAGACTTGGAGGCACTGCACGCTGATGTGGAGTGTGCCTACCAGAGCTTGTGGGTTCGGGTGCATCCAAACAAGGCTAGCAAAGTCGGACAGCCTTGTCCGGAATTTGAGCTCCTGTCCATGTGCAAGGACGTTTGCATGATAATTAAACTAAAGTTGCTCCTAGCTGTGTTTGAGCCCGAAGCATTCCTAGATCCCATTCGCGCAAAAATCTTGGTATTGTAGTTATTAGAGGAGAAATTATGCCCCGAACTATCATGGCATATGTTCGCATCTACACATACTGCTACAAGAAAAGTCAATAACCAGCCTCTTCGACATGTAGCGGAGTTGGCACAAAATGGCCATACAAGGAACCCAAACCTTATGATACCCCTCAGCCCTAAACCCCTAGACCCTAAACCCCTCAACCCGGAAGCAGTAACGCCAGGCTCTGACTGGGACGAGTGCCACCAGAGAGCTCTATCATTGCAATGCAGCTACCTCGAAGGCAGATTCACAACACCGACGTCAACTGTGGGTTCTAGGTTCCCCGTTACTTTGTGCCCTTTGTTTTAGAGCACCCTTGTCAAAACTCAAAACTGAATACCATGCAGGAAAAGGGGGCCCTTTTATTAATCGTGTTCTTTGTTGTGCACATATGCTTGACGTAACGTGAAAATCAAGTGTGTAAGGGTGTCTTACAGCACTCTACGGGCCTATGATCTTCAGCTGGGCTTGCCAAGAGACAAGACGCTCGATGCTGGTAGTGGTGGGCTTGTTGTGTATTGTGTTACACGGCGAGTGGGTGGGTGGACGGGTGTTTAAATTTTGTAGTAATTAAGGGCGAATATAGATGCTGCTGATTATTGGTTGCTACTGTTTCATTTCGTTGTTTTCATTTCTGCTACTGTATCTACAATCTAGTTGTGTCTTTACGCCTCGAGTGAATGCTTGCGCGGGCGCGCACGCGAGTGCCTTCGAAGCGTCGAGCAGTTGTTGAAGCCGGTGGCTAGGTTCCTGAGTAGTGCCCTTTTGTCTTTTTTTAGTTTAGGGTCCCCTTATTAAAACCGAATAGTAGGAAAAGGGTAGCCTTATTATAAAGGGGTTACTCAGAAACCTAGGTGGTGTTGTCGAGGGTGTTTGGGTTTTGCTGCCAGTTGCTTTTGGTGCGGGTCGTTTTGTTCTCTCCTTGTCCTTCTTTTTGGATTGATGGTGGTGATTTCTGGTGGGTGGCGGTGATCGTCGGTTACTGGTCCCAGGGCCCTAGCACAAGTGTTCCTGGCATGGTCCATTGTTTGGCGGCACGCCACTTTGGGTGCAGCGTGTTTGTGCGTCTTCTGGGGTGTTGAAGACTTTCCGTGGGACACATTGGAAGATCGGGGGACTTGGGAACCAGAGTCTCAAGCCGGGATATGCCCCTGTCCTGAACCAGGACGATAATTCAGGGCCCTGAAGAAAGAAAGGGCGGGGGTTAGGGGTTTAGGGTTTAAAGCTTATATAGCGTTTGGGGTTTAGAGTTTAGGGTTTAGGTTTATTCACCGGCGTTTTCAGAATGCTACTATAATCTTCCCCAAAACCTGTTCTAAAGACGGAGATCCTGCAACTAAGGTTTTATTGTAAGCTAGGTGCGCATCCACTGCAAGCTCCAATACCCTAAGCTGACCCCCGCCAAAGCGGAAAGCATCTCGCAGCGTAATTCTTCAGCTTGAAAAAAGCTTATAGTTACACCATCCCTTGAATTTATTGCTTTCAATGCCTTTTGTGGCCCATACGGTCCTAAATGCTGAAGTTTGGAGCACCACCTCCCAAGTTTCGACAGATAATCAGCGAAGGTGAACGAAACTTGGAACCGCAGCGAACCTGATTCAAGCAAAGTCATAAACAAGACAAACACACCCCCATATCCCAAGAAACGAACATGTCATAGCAATTGTAGACTGTAGCAACAAGCCCACAAGTAACACACGAACTACAGGACCCCTGAGCCCTAAACCGCAAACCCTAAACCCTAGAAGAAATACGTACAAGGAGCCAGAGACCCCAATTACCGAGTAGACACTTTAAACCATCATATTGAGACTCCTAATCTTGGTTAAGGTTCATTCCTTGTTTTCATGGGCCTCAAAAGGTGGCATGACGGTAGGTGGGGTAACCCCAACATAGGAGTCCTTATATAAGGGATCCTAAAAATCCTACCTACCTTTATCCCGCCTTTTGAGGCCTCCAATCAACGTGAAAAATATCTTAAAATGGCGTTACGATACTTAAAAGCCTATACCTAACTACTTACTATTACTAAGTCTCCCGACTCTCCAAGTGGGGCCTCTGGGAATCATCGTGTTCAGGCCCGGGACTTGCCGACTGGGTGCTCCAGTCTCTGAGCAAAGGAATGCTGCAGGTCCGAATTCATAACTTGGCGTGCTTCTGGTTGGCCCTTAGGACTAACTTTTTGGGGAATGAGGAGGCTAAAAGTTGAACTTCTAGGAGGGATTCTGAAGTCAGCCAAGATAGTATCTACTGAGACTAGGGTACGTTTGAAGGGCTCCTTAAGGCTACTTAGAGGGTTCTACAAGGGATCTATGGGGCCTTGCAAGAAGCTTGAATCTAGTTTCCTATAGTCTCCATTGGAGTTCCTTTTGTTGGTTCAACCAACTCTGCATTTAGGATATCCCAAACAAGAATCCAAAAAAGGAACTACAATGGAAGCTATACTATAGGCATGCTATCTAGGTTCCGCGGTAGGAACCTTTTGCCCCTTTATTTGCAGGGTTTCCAGTAGCTTTAGGGTTTTAGGGCTCATAGGGTTTAGGGGTGAGGATACCGCAGGTCCGGCCGAGTGAACGACTCGCTGCTCCTATATAACCCTTAGAGAGTCCTCAAAGGAGCCCTTTAACAGAACCTTAGTCAAAGCTCTAAACCCTAAACCCTAAACCCTAAACCCTAAAAGCCCCAAAATATAGAGACCTTAGAGGAAGCCTTTAAAGGAGCTCTAGTCGAAGTCCCAGAATAGAGGGTCCTTCAGGGTTCCCTATGGCGGAGTGAGAGATGCGCTTAGGAATCATCCATCTCATCTTAGGAGTTCCTTCTTTCAGCAGCTCCTTCTTTTAGGATTTCCTTTTTTTTGTAATTTACATTTTTCTGAGTGTACGGCAAAGTTTAGGGTTTAGCGGCACGTAGGGTGTCAGAGGCTTGGAGGCCTCAGGGTTCCTTTGGGGGTTTCGTTAGGGTTTAGGGTTCTTTCGGGGGGTTCAGGACCCGGCCGAGTGACAAGACTAGGTTCCCCTGACCCTTATAGAGCCCTGAAAGGAGCCCTTTAAAGGAACTTGTTAAAGGAGCCCCCATCGAAGTCCCACAATAGCGAGTCTGGGTTCCCGGATAGTACCACTTCGTCCTTTTACTGCAGGGTTTCCATATCAAAATTGAATACCAGGACACTGAACCTAGCGGATGAGCTTCGGGCTCAGGGTATAGATTGTAGGGCTTAGGGCGCAGATATCGTAGTCGCTTGTGCTTTCCACGGTTTAGGGTTTAGGGTTCATGGGACAAAAGTATGATTTCAGGGGGTTAAGGCTTAAGGCCTTAGCCTTTGCAGCTGCGACAGGACTACGCGCGGACCGCAGCGCAGTGCTCAGCTGTGGAAGGGGAGGGGATGCGAACGAAGCCACCAAACTCCAGTCCATGGCTTGAGGTCCTTACTCACAGGGTCCATATACACTGGCGCAATTCAACCAGGCCCCAAAAGAGCATCCTGATATCGGTTTTGGGGTACCTAATTCCATAGAGGTTCTATGTATGTGTACATTGCATATATATATATATATATATATATATATGTATGTGTTTTTATATGTGTGTATATATATATATATATATACAAATAGACCTTCTTGGTAGCTGCTTTTTGAAGGATTGAACACCTGCCTATGATGGGGCCCGATAGTTGGATGTTACATTATCTCTTGCGGGCTCCTTTCAGCGAGCATCCTAAACCCTGCACCCTGAAGCCTAAGCCCTACAGCCTACGTGAAAACCTACAGCCTAAGGCTTAATCCCTATATACCTTAAATAGCACAGTCTCAAGCCTTAACCTTACACCCTAAAGCCTAAAGCTCATATGGTTGGTTGTCAAAATTGGGTCCATTTTTGGATCCCTAATATAATACGGCACCTTTTAGGGTACCCAAAAAGGGACCCTAATTTGAAACGCTGCGCGTCGTCCGTCTCGGCCCGGCTGTACGCGCATGCGGCGAGTGGCTACTATCTGCAGCAAGCTCTTGTAGGAAAAAAGTAACAGTTGGAATCGCACTTGTAGTAAAGGTAATGTTCATAGCAACACGAAGCAGGATGATTGTGAGTGTCGTCGAAAACTCCAGAAAGCTCACACCTGTCAGCGAGCGGAGAAGGGGCGGGAGGGAAGGGGGGAGGGGGGGGGGGGGGGGGGGGGGGGGGGGGAGGGGGGGAGGGGGAGGCGGGGGAGAAGCGGGGCTAGGAGGGGGAGAAGTGGGGAAAATTGGGTGGGACTGCATACAAAGCCAAAATCCGTTGGAGGGGGCGAGAATTCACCGCCGTACCTTGGAGTCAGTGACACGGGGAGGGGATTTAGAGGTGGGGAAAAGAGA